ATATATATATATATATATATATATATATATATATATATATATATATTTCGTAAATTACGATTAAGAAATGTATCACTTTCACCATACATGAATATCACATCGATTTTACTGACAAATTTCGATACATTGATCGGGATTTTAAGCTGCCAGAAGAGATTATCATTGACGATGTAATGAACAATGTATTAAACATGTATTTATATTTATTGCTCTCGATTGTTTCAAAATCTGTAATCTCGATAGATATAAATTTATACATGTAAAACTTAAATTTTTCCCGCTCACGTTCTTTACATATCTAAACCACCAGCTACGCGATGCAATAAAAAAAAAAAAAAAATACATAGTTGTACGAAAAGAGAAAACATCGATAATCTTGAAAACTCCGAAAAAAACTGACCTTGAAAAGGAAATATTCTCACCAGCTATTGGCTGTTATCTTTCGATACTATGTTGAGGCGAAAAATATATATATATTTTTTTATTTAGATTAATAGACAGGCATATTCGAAGATTTTGTACCGGAAGTACGTTATCTCATATTTCATCGGTACCTTCTAATTGGAGTTTCTTTTCGCCAACGGGAAAGAAGAACAAGGAAAGGCAAGTAAAGACAGAAAAGTGGTATGTAACTAGCTGAAAACGATAAGTTTCGGGCGGACGATAAGTTTCCCTCATCGGTAGCGATCGAAGGAAACGCGGTTGCAAAAGAATTCCAGCAACGTCCGCGTTGGAATAGCATCTCGCCGCGAGCTACTCGTATTTTAATTAAGCGGATATTCGCAAGATCTTCTTAGGCGGCGTCCGACGAAAGTCTTTGGCCCGTTTGTACCTCCTCTGTATCCGCAGGATGGGTTAACGCTGGGATTAAGTTGGAACGCGGAGAGATCTATCTTCTCGCGGGATTAGCAATTACGTTAAGCAGGCCGACGCTGGGACGGACCGGATGTTAATCGGTTCGAGAACGGTCGATACGCGCTCCTTCATCAAAGCCTCGCTCTTGACCCTTTGATCTTGGCATCTGGGCCTTCAATTATGATTTAGCATAACGAACGGAACTGCGACTGGAGAACCGCATGCTACATGGTCGACGTGGTCTCGCACTTCGTCCGATGGTGTACGAAGGAATGTTGAGACAGCGTGACCGATGGTAATCTCACAGATGGTAATCTCACAGTCGATCGACTATAAAATTTTTCGGGCAATTCATGCAAATTTTAGCGCCCGGTATTCTCGATAATTTTCTCAGCCAGGAATGCTTGCTTACTCGAGGGGGAAAGGTGCACACCAAGTTTCGCCGCAATCTTGGTCTGATTCATTTTTAAAGGTTTCCTGGTTCACGTTAAACGAAAAAATTTCTTTTTTCAAGAGAGAGAGAGAGAGAGAGAGAGAGAGAAATTCCTTGCTCAGAGAAAATCAAGGGAAGGAAGTTTAAACGCGTGGTGGGATATTAAGTTTGAAGATTGTTTTTGACCGACGAACGCCGGTAAAACTTAATTCGTTCGACCCGGACGATACTTTCGGTTCTTGGTTTCCTCCAGCTCTCACTTTTTTTCCCTCCGTCGTTTCTCCCCTCCCCTTGCAATTTGAACTTCCACGAAACGCTACATTCGTTTCTTTCGCCTAAGCAATTTCCGCTTGCCTCTCATTCCATTACCGTAAACTGGCGTGACGTTGGCCAACATGCTGGAAAAATGCTACGAAGCTCGGGCGGGAATTCTAAAGGTATCGCCGTCGTATTTTCGGCGCTGACCCGCTCTTAATCGTTCAAGTCGACACACAACAATTATCAGGAAATGAAACGTAGGGCCCGGTTCGTTTAAAAGGATCGTTTTGTCCGCTTATCTCGTGCAATTAATGGCACGGCAGCGTTCCTCGAAAGAAACTGTTAAAACCTGCGCACCTCCTCCGTGCTCTTGCCGTAATTAACGCCGCTGGTAATCAACGTTCTTGTCTCTGCCAGCTGTCCGCTGCTAGACTATCGTCTAAAAATGAAGACGCTTGAACGACGTTGCGAAATCAGACGTTCTCCAGATTTCTCTCAGTCGCTTGTATGTCGATCACACGCTCGTCCACGGCAACTGGACTAATCAAAATTGCGAATTATTATAAGAATTATACACGAAAAATAGAAATTTTATAGAAGTTTTTGCAAGCAAAAAGATAAGATTTTGTCATAATAACATAATTAAAAGTACTTTCGATATTTTATATGTGGAATTTTGCATGGAAATTCATTACGGGAAAAAGAAAGAAGTACGTTTCACTTTCTTTATTGCCATCTCCTCCTCATCTCTCTGGAATTTACAATCTCGAGAGAAAAGATACGATTCAATAGAGTGGAAACAAAGTCATCGAAGCAGCGATATACGCGTCATTTCGAACGCGTTGCTCCGGCTGGTTGGGAAAATGGGGAAACTGCGCGGTATTTTGGAGGCAGGTATCCGCGAGGCGATGCGATGTCGATAAGATAGAGCGTCATTTGCATACAAACGCTGACAGAGAAACGTTTGCATGCAAATTAAAATAAAGCCACGTCGAGGCATTTCCTTTCGAGGTGGAAATTCTCGGCCAGGCACGAGCGAAGTGTGCAGCACACGCTGTCGAATGCAGGTTTCACTTTCCTCTTAAAGCAAACC